TACCAGCTTTGTTTAAAACATAAATATTTGTTTCTACATGTTATCATATTTTTGCCGCTAAAAGTCATAACGATTTTTGCGCGTTTAACGCGTGTTCCGTTATGACGTCGCATACGGTAATTTTATTATGTTTTGCCCTGATGAAGGCATAGCCGAAACGTATGTAATAAATAATTACTGAATGTTTGTGTTTGTGTGGCTTGTCTGTTTATCTTATAGAAGGTGATGAAATTCAACGATATGTTGTTATAACAAGTGCAATATGTCTTTATGATGTTACCAAAATTAAAATATGTCTTTATGTTGTTATCATATATATAAAATATGTCTTTAATGTTGTTATTATAGTAAAATATGTCTTGATGTTGTTATCATTAAAATATGTTGTTATCATATTTTTACTGAAAGTAAAAGAATATGTCTTTAATGTAAAAATTATTAAAAGTTATAATAAGTACAATTGTTGCATGTCTTGTACGTCACGTAAAAACAAATACTTTAAACGTCTACAGCGTAACGACTGAATAAAAGATTATTTGTGTTCGAATTCATTTTCTTAGTTTAGACCATTTTCTTTTCATTCTAGATAGTTTTCACAACAAAATTCGACAAAAAATTGTTTTTATTTATCACATTTTCAAACAAAAAAATGGCGCCCTCAATGTGAAAATTACACAGGGAGATTTAATAACGAACGGCGAGTGCATTGTTGTAGAAATAATGAACGCTTCGGGCCTTCTTTGTTTATATAGAAACATTTCCGATATTGTGATTAAAGTAGTTTTGCCTAATAAAAGTCTTTTAAAAAGACGGTGACAGGATAAATAGAATAATAGATTGGTGCCGTGGATGGAGAAATTTTATCTGGCTCTGCTCCGGAATTTATTGGGTTCGCCTTCGGCTCACCCAATAAATTCCTCCGCCTCGCCATATAAACTTTCTCCATCCACGGCACCAACCTATTATTCCTCTATATCACAAGAACAATGTGTCTTCATGTTTTTATCATATGTGCAATATGTATATACATGTATGTATCAAAATCCTGTGGTTTTATAACGTCAAAATCACATGATTTAATGACGTCAAAATTTCGTGTTATTTAATCTCAAAATCATGTTGTTTTCATAATGTCAAAATAATCTGGTATTATAACGTCAAATCACCTGGTTTTATAACGTCAAACTCATCCGTAATTAAACGTGAAAATTATCTGATTATAACGCCAAAATCTCCTGGCATCATTATAACGTCAAAATCAACTAACATCACTCGTAGTACCTCAAAATCATCGGTTATTATTACGTCAAAATCACCTTGCAGTATTCTACTTTCAAAATCAACTGGCATTTTTACGCCAAATCTCCCGGTATTATAACGTCAATATCGCCTGTTATTATACGTCATTATCATTTGGTATTATAACGTCAAAATCACCTGTTATTATATGTAGTGGATATTTGTTTGTTTTGTATGAAATATATTTTACTCAGTGGACACCAGATGCATCATTTTTACGAGTGGCGTAGCCACGAGTGAAAATAGAAAAGCTGGTGTAAACGGACTGGCTACAGTGAAAATTAGATTTTGTAAATTTCACTAGTAGTTTATCAGAATATAACCATCTGACATATTACACTAAAACATTTGAGAGCATTAAATAAAACGTCAAAAGCATTTGGTATCCAAACGCCAAAATCACCTTGCATTATTTTAACAAGTTGCGCAGCCACAAGTGAGAATACTGTTTTTAAAGTTCACAAGATGAAATAAAATTACATCTGACACAATAAACAAACACATTTTTTTTATTTTATGCTTAAACAAGTTTAAATAGAGGATATTTGTTTAGTTCAGTGTAAGATCTGAATATATTTCACCGAGTGAGCACCAAAAGGTATAGTTCACGCAACCACGAGTGAAATATTAACTTTTGGTGGTCACGGGGTGAAATATATTTCGATCTTACACTAAACTAGACAAATTTCTTTTAGTTATATGCAAAAAAACGTTTAAAAAGATATTTAACCTAATACTAAATGAAAATCGCGCCAAATAATAATACAACGTGACGTCATTAACAATGTCACGTCATTAAGTTGGTTTCCAGTACTGTGGACGCTTGTGTTTCACTGAAACAACGTAAGGGGCTTAAATTCAAAACAGTAAAATTATCAATTTGATAATTTCACTGTTTAAAACAGTGAAAATATTCATTTCTAATTCACTGATGTATTTCTATAATCTACCGAAAAGCATGTAATAAATGAGATTTCCTCAATATTTGCATCTATATTTAAATCTATTCTCCCCACTGGTAGCCTCATGTTAGTCGAATTTCTCATAAAATGTAAAAGTCTTGAGCTAAGTTCGACAATCAACGTTAAATGGTAATGCTAATAATTTATTTTATTAAAACATATGAATGATCGCTTGTTTTAATAATAAAACAGACAATTCTAGTTGAAGGAAAAGTCACACCATCCGACCTATTTTCGTCACTTACGGCGAATTTATATTAGACCAGGCTTTGTGTAATGTAAGCGATCGCCATTTTTAAAGGTTGTGTATTTCACGGGAGGAAAATAATTGTGTTTGATTCAGAGGGATATCATTTGGATTTGTTAGTCAAACTTATACGGAGATTGTTACACACGATAAATAATTGTTGACAGATGGTAAACATTCAAAAAGCGGCTAGGAATTTGGAAAACATATAATTTTTGAAAGGCTGACTCACGAACGCTGGATTGTTTACTTATTCTTCGGGCTGATGACTGTCATTGCTTTTCAAGTTTTCATATTGCAAAAGGGCAGTTTTTGCTCTTAGGATAATTAATTATACCCAAAATGTCATCAAGAGCAGTTGTGCATGAGGAAGGAAGTGTATTTTTCAGACAGTAAAAAAAACAATAATAATAATAAAAAATACGATATTTGGTGATTTGTAATTTGAATGAATTGAAGTATTTTTTTTCTTATTCTTACTTTTCAATTTTAAGTTATTAATCCATTTCAGCTTTGCTTTTCTTTAAACAGCCCTGAACTGTCAGCAAAAACAAAATTGAGGTACCACATGGGGAAAATCTTTAAAAGTAGTCTCGTCATTGAAAAGTGTGAAATTATATTTTGTTAATTTTCACAGTGAAATTATCAAATATAATTTTCACGGATAAATCAATTATCCATTCAAAAGCATAAAAAACCGTCTTAACTACCTGACATAATTATAACGTCAAAATAACAGGCTTTATCACATAAACCGCGGCGCAGGAGTGTAATAAAGCCATTTGATAAAAACGGTATTACACTAGACGATATTAAACTAGTGTAATAACAGTTTGACGTCACGTCATTTGCGCTATAAACATAGCGTTAAAGCGCGCTAATGTTAGCGTTACACTATAGGCGCGTCAAAGAAAAATGACTCTTGATAACAGTTTACCGTTCTTATTTTATATATGTGATAAATAGAATATTATATTCGTGAAGATTCAATACTAAATTTATTGAACTCGTTGAATAAAACAATATTATGCTTGCCAGAGGCTTGCATAATATGATTTTATTCAACTCGTTCAATAAATTTAGTATTAAGCCTACACTCATTCAATATCCTCTATTTTTAACGTCAAAGTCATCTGTTATTTACGCAAAAATCATCTGGTATTAAAACGCCAAAATAACCTGGTATTGCAACGTCAAAATCATCTGGTATTATAACGTCAGAGTCAACTGGTTTATAACTTCAAAATACGAGGTACTACGACATAAAAATCAACCGGTATCATAAGGTAAAAATCAACTGGTATCACAACGTCAAACTGATGTCGTGAGACTAAATAAGGATTGGAGCACCACACTAAATACCGCATTCCGTACATACCGGGCAAGACGCTTAAATCATTAAATGCTAAAATCTCGCATTTTCACCTTACGGAATGAACTTTAAAACGTCTAATTAATCTTTTCGCTCCGATTAATATACGATAAGGAATGAACAATGTAATAATCGGCGAAAAAAAACAACAACATATTTGTCTATTTTATGATCATGATTTCTGCAAGCAAGCGTCTAGAGGTACTGCTCCAATCCTGTATTGAGTTAAATCCAAACTTATGTGGTTTTTATAACGTCAAAATCAAGTGTTTTATAACGTCAAAAATCACGTTTATTGCAACGTCAAAACACCCGGCATTGTAAAGTCTAAATCACCTGACATAATATATAATATAAGGTCATATTACCTGGTATTATAAAGTTTACTGACATTGCTTATTTGCAGAAAATAATTTTAGAAGTTCCTAGAGGTTGAATACAATATATAGAAGATATTAAATAAGTGTAATTGTAATTTAAACACTTGGTTTATAACCGAAGAGAAACAATTCCTGCTATTTTAATGTAGATGTTATGTTAAGAGTTGTACCTCTTGTCATGCATATTTCATACAACATTCACTCCAATTCCTGGGGGTACTGTTTATGCAACTTGATGAGACCAGTAAAAACTTTCCAAAATTTATTGGGCATTGTCTGAAGTTTAATTATCAAAAATTGGTCTCTATATTTACTAATACTTGATATAAAAGGTACATATTATTAACAAAGTTGAAGTATTCAGAATTTAGTGGCGTCCACATTTACGTGTAGATGCTTTTGCATAGGCTAATCAAATCTTAATTATCAAATGTGTTCTTCTGCATGCCAATCATTATTTTGAAAGCGATGCGGTTTTTAATTTTATCTCATGGAAAACCATTATTGAGACGGAATTTTCACAATTTCGAGAACAAACATGGTGTTGTCCATGGAGCCGGCAGGTAACTCGCAAAACCATCTTTCTAATTAAAAAATACTTTGTTACGAGTAAACGCAACAGAGAAGATAACGCATCAACAAATTTTACAATTTTTAATTAAAAAAAAAGACAAAAACAACAACAACCCCCCCCAAAAAAAAACAACAACAAACAAACAAAAAAAACAAAACAACAACAACAACACAAAAAAAACACAAAAAAACAACAACAGTTATTTACAATAATTCAGAAAAATATGAAAGTATAGTTTAACTCACAATTATCCACGATTCGATTTTAACAGATGTCCTAAAGTTTAATTCACAGTTCGAAACACAATTGTCCACAATTCAGATTTAATCAATGTCCAATGTCAACAGCAGAATATAACATTATGTCCAAAACAAACAATTCCCACAAAAAATAACAGAATCAAAACTAATATAATCCTATGTCACGATATCCTAAGTAAAATAGCACACAATCAGTATATCACAAATTAGCACACACCTCGAAGTACAAACATTCATCATAATATATACTATCAATAAACAATCTAGAAAACTACTTAGATAAAGAATATTCGAGATTGAACATGAACAGAACTTTATTGAAAGAACTTTAATGCGCTCTACCTATTAACATCAAATAAACACAATTATTGAAAAAATGATAGTGGCATGAGTAGGTATCGAACCCACAACATCGATATTATCAGTCCTGCGTTCACCTAGAGCTTTTCAGGAAATAGATACTAAACACATCTAAAATAAAGCCTATATACATAACAACTTTATTACATCAAGTTAATTTCTTAAAAAATTACTTCAATTTTTTTTCTAACAAAAATAAACAATTTGTTTTTCTGTCATGGATAATGGTATTTTGATACTTTTTCTAATGCCTATTTGTAAAAACCGGTTTGATTGCATGGCTAAAAATAGCTTTCTCGGGAAATGCGAATGATTAAGAAGGCGGTTGGAAGAAACAAGTAGTTTTAAACTTTAGTCAGATTGGTTCTACTGCGTAATAACACCACTAGATAACGAGTGGTCAAATTTACGACCAATGAAAACTGATCGAATCTACAATCACTCATGGCAGGGCATTATTCACATAAATCAACAAACACGTGTGTTAAAACAAATAAAACATGCGTGTACTTATCAACAGTTTAAACACATAATCAACACATCTATCTACAGATTGCATCCTAAATCCACATCTTCAGTGTCACGTACAGTGCATTCAACCATCTGTTCACACTCTTTCACAATAAAGACATTGAGAGGTCTGTACACATGTCTACTTTTGTCTTTCTTCTGTTCGTCAGAAGCACACTGATTTTTCCCTCGTCTGACCAACAATTTTTCACTTCCTCTTTTAGGGACAGCTTTTTTTCCAGAAGGCTTGCATTTCTCAATGTAAGATCCTCCCTGATTAAATGTGATGATAGACACTAAATTTCCCAATTATGTGTACAATACCGTTGTTGGTTAAATGAAGAAAGGACATGGTCACAAGGCTACAAAAAGTTTGATAACTTCCTTGTGAGGAATATATTGAAAACACATTAGACGCACGCCCAGAGGGACTTGTCAGTTTTTAAAACACTGATAAAAAGAAATATCATGCTCAAATTTGTCATTTAAAAAAAAAATGGCAATTACTATACGGTCCCTTTTCAAATGTAAAATAAACATATATTCAATACACACAGAGAAAATATGTTATGTTTTAAACTATACACTACAGCTAAACACATTATGATTACATAGTGTTATTGAAAAAACTGGCAGTTTTGTTTAAGAGGAACGACAATGACTTGACAAGTAATTGGGAATGCAGCTTCCCAAACATAGTGTCCTCATTGACTTATTCATATTAGACATCATTCACTTATTCAAATGAGACATTTTCAGAAAGGATTTTCAAGATTTCAATAAATTTCTGCAAAAAAAGTAATTTATCCAAATAGTGAGTCATTAGCATAGTATATCATTAACAAGGCTCACATAAAGATAGAATACCTTTAGAACTCAGAAAGTCATATGAAGTTTGAAAAAGCAAAGGTAATGTAGGAGAATGAAAAACAAAACTTAAGATAGGAAGAAGAGGCTAAACGAAAAAAGCAATAACTACAATATAGTTAAGTACAATGAGCATCAGGTGAAGGACTTGAGAAATATATCAGAGGAATTAGCATCCGGGTCTGTAGGAAGGATAAAACTGACACATCAAAAGATACGGAGCAAACGGTTTTACATTTCTTATAAGAGACTGATGTTAAAGCTCCTTAACTCAATGTTTTATGGTTTTATATCATTAAATATGATGCCAAAATGAAGATTTATCAATATTGTTAGTTCTAAAAAGCATAATTTGTAAAGATATTACCTAATTTACATTTCATGTTAATAAAGGGAGGTTATTAAAAACATTATTTTCTATAAAGTCTAAGTCAAAATTTTCAATAAGAATTGAGTGCATATATTTAAGTGAGTACATATCGTTGAAGGACCAGTTTCAGTCACCCTAAGAGTATTCTGACCACAACGATAAAGAACATTGAAGGAGACTAATTTTAACTTTAGATTCTTCAAAAGTTACCTTTCTTCATTAATTCAAACACAAACAATAGCTATATATTTATATATAATTTTCTTTTACCATATCAACCAAACATACCCTTAATTAGCTCACAAATACCGAATTCGTCCTACTTCGGTGATCCCTATATAATTTCTATCCCAGAAGCATCAGCCAGAAATGGTCAAAACATATGGTATTAATACACAAACATAGCAATAGAAAATATGTATGCTAAAAATATGCTTTAATAAAGACAAGATATAGGGTACATTAATATATTAGGACGGTTTTGAAAAGGAAATTATATGAAACACTAGGGGATGGGGTAGAAAAAATTGACACATGTAAAAAAAATCTTATATCTTCAATAAAAAAGTTGGTTTTCAAGTAAAGATATTATTTTAACATTAAATCTGAAAGTTTCACAATACAAAAATACTTCTTTCAACAAATTTCAGTGGTATCTTCACTTCTTAGATTTCTTCCAAACTTTGACTACAAATATAAGGAAAATGTGTATTTTAACTTCATTGTTTACTAATATTTTCATGTTAATCAGCTAAATTTAATTAAAGACAGGGAGAAAATAGACTTACAGTCATAAAATGCTGAAAAAAACAACATTTTAATCTTAGCTTTTGTTAAAAAAAATATCTGATGTTCTGTGGATTAAAGAGTAATAAGGAAAATGCTTAAAAAGAAGGATTTTCAAGGAAAATAGTATGCCAGATACACAATTTATATTTTCTAACCTTTTTTTCAAGGTTGCATCAAGGTAATAAGTTAACATAAACAGTCCCACTGGGATAAAAACTTTGCAACAATGCTTTTCAAAGTGGCAGCATTTCATAAAAAGGTAACTGAAACTGGGCTGCCAATGAAACTGGGCATCTGATGATAAAATGAGCACAAATATTTGCAGTTCATATTTTACATATTCTTTGATGTTTGAAAATTATTTTAGAAGCATGGTTAATATAAAATTTCACTCAAGTGTTGTTACAACCATAATAACAACATACAGGATCTTTAATTGTTAACACTTTGGTACTGCACAAGTTGTATAGCGTTCATTCGGGTCAGTTGTATAACACCAGGGTTCGTCGCCATCATAATCAGGATTGCGACAATAGTTTTCGGCAGCAGTTAGACTTGCATCCGGGAAATCATATGTTAAGTCAAAAGAATGATCGTGTGGACTTTGTGCGTCCCATCTTTGACACTTTTTACCGTTCCATGTAGTGCTTTTTGTACCATCGTACAAGTGTGATGACCCCGGATAATAGCATCCGAAATTTGCTGAAGCATATAAAAGCAGAGTAAAGCAAAAATAACCCGAGATGGTTATATAGCTTGCACATATTCATAAATGCTTAGCCATATAAGCTGTAAATATCTTTATATAGCAAAATTACAATATTTCACCGATTTTTATATATGAATGTAGAATTGAACTTAAAATTCAATCGATATAAATTCGATCTTTCATCCATAGTTATCAATATTATAAGTCCTCTTTATTCTGTGCCTTTATACTCAGTTGTGCGATAAAGGGTCATGAATGCCCTCTTATCTTTAAATGTATATATACTACTCAACTTTTGCTAAGCACCATATGTTTGAGTGTTAATATTTTTTTTGGGGATAATTTTATTGACGCCATGCGAAAGGTTTTAAATGTTGATTAACTGTTTTCTCATTTCAGCTGAATGACGAATGTAACCATATAAATGAGTTTAACACTGATTTTGTGCTGTAGAAGAGGATACCCCTTTGATTTTTTTAGAACATGCAGCGTGATTTCCAAACTTATTAAATTGTATTTTTGGTGGTTTACACTTTATGAATTCATTACATGTACGACCCGTGACTATCAATTAGGTTTCTGATATTTCTAATGGGTATGTCCACGCATCCTTGGACCAAAATGGCTTCAAGCAAATGGATGTCTCTTGGTTGCAGCTAACGAGCTGAAATTCTAACCTGCAGCACATTCCACATTTGTTTTACTGGTTTTAAGTCAGATGAGCGAGATTGCCAGTCCATGCGCTTAATATTCGCCCTCGCTATGTAGTATTGGACCACCCTGGCCCTATTGGGGTATTATCGTCCATTAGAATGAACTGATCGCCAACTTCTCCAGCATACAACCTAGCCTGATTGTCTAATATGTCGTCTCTGTTTCTCTGACCTATCAATGTGCCTCTATTTAGCACAACAAAGTCAGTTCGTCAGCCCCAGCTGATACCTACCCACACCAAAACTGACCCACCATCCGTAGCGATCATATTTGCAGACAGAAAAAACGTTCACCTAGTTTTCTTCAGACTTAGTACGCCTATCTGTAAAGTCTAGGCAGAACCTGGACTCATCAGTGAACAGAACGTGTCTCCAGTGCTGCATGACCCACTGTGTATGCTCAATGATCCATTCCAAACGGGCCTGGCGATGTCGACTCGTCATGGGCATACGTATGCAAGGCCCTCTTGACCGCAAATTTTCTCCATGCAGCATTCTACTTACCGTCTGCGTTGAAACACAGACCCCACAGTATTAGCAAAGTCATTTTGAAAAGAAGCTGCTGTCAAGAACCTTGTACGACGAGCCTGAACGACCAAAACCCGATCTTGAGCTGATTTTGTGGCCCTTTGCCACCTTGAGCATGCCTCTTGGCGGGTATTCCATGTACTTGGTATCTCTCCCAGGCTCTGGTGATGACGGTGTGGTGAACACCAAGCGCCGCACCAACCGGGCGGTAGGTGGTCCCCGCTGCACCATCCCTACAGCCCTCCATAACTCTGCTTCTCTCAAATGCCGCCTAATGTTAGCATTCGCCATATCGAAGTGACAGATGTAAGGAAATGTTAGCCACTGAATGACAATCAGCCGGTAATGTCGCCGTATAACAAAAGACATGTGATTGTACACCCCATCAAAACATGAAAATATTTGGGTGCATGCTTTTCTTGCTTTCTAGGCGAGTTTTAACGGATAGGTCAACACGGATTCATATCAGTGGACTATCTCGAAACATTGTTGAATCAGAATTTTCAAAAATTGGAAAAGAAATCTGCTTTATACTTGTGATAACATAAAAATTGACTTATGGTGCTAAGCAAAAGTCGAGTAGTATAGTAATCAGTTGAAATATATTTGATTCAGCGAATAAATACATCTGCCATTGTGTTTCATTTGAAAAGTTGAAATATGATCTTGACCCCCAATCTCCACTAGACACTACTGCATTATTGCAAAAAAAAATTAAATTCCTACTATGTGTTTTATATTGTGGTGGATAGCGTTTTTCCCACAAATACAATATTGGTAAACAATAGAACTAATCTATTTTTTGTAAACACTTCTAAAATGTGCATTTTAAAAGAAAACCATACATATACAATTATCATAAACAACAATATGATGTTTCAAAGTTAAGTCTAGTAAGCAAAATGTAAGATATCAGTTATTTTTTTCAGTTCATTGTTATTGCTAATACAAATCAAGCTTTGTTAACAAAGCTTATTTTCAATACAATATTTATTTGATCATTGTTATTGTGATGTATACATCATTTAACATGACCCTTGACTGAAAATTAAAGTAATTCTGTTCTATTCTATTATTTATTAAAAAAACTTAATTATTTATTTTTACCAATGTACATAGCTCCATAATCTGAGCACGATAAACAGAAGTTTCTTCATATTTATTTTTAGTACGGAACAGATCACCTTAATACTTTATAGGAAAATGAAATTTTGCACATCTGTAAATGATGTACGTTTGACTGATAATTGTAAAATTACGTAATAAATGTCGCAATATCTCAATCGGTACAGCGGAACCTACTCCTCGACAGGGGTCGTTATTATTATTATTGTTATTATCATCGATAATTTGTATAACTTGTAATGTAATAATTTGTTTAATCACTTGCAGTTGAACTACGTTTACCTGAGTCAATCTTTTAATGGACTGTGCTTGTATTTTTAGAACTGACGAAAGTTCTGTTTATCGTGCTCGGACTGTAACAATCAACTTAATTTACAGTGATATTTCTTTTAATAACGAGAATAAATATATTTTACGTTTTGGGCAGGATGTACACTTTTGTACTGCACATGTTGTATAGCGTTCATTGGGGTCCACCGTATAACACCAGGGTTCGTTGCCATCATAATCAGGATTGCGACAATAGTTTTCGGCAGCAGTTAAACTTGCATCCGGGAAATCATATGTGAAGTCAATAGAATGATCGTGTGGACTTTGTGCGTCCCATCTTTGGCATTTTTTACCATTCCATGTAGTGCTTTCGGTACCTTTGTACAAGTATGATGACTCCGTGCAATAACATCCGATATTTACTTAAACATATAAATGTAAAATAAAGATGTTTACATGTTATTTCTTGCACATGATAAAAAAGGAAAAATCAATTAATAGCTAGATAAGCGTTCTTATGTCGGCGATCAGTACGCAAGATTGTGAGCATACATGACCAGAGCTGTTAAACAAGTGTTATATACATAAAGACGTTTATACCATGCCAAATACCATGCATAATACTCTCATACTACATGATATATAGAAATATATATAGAAAAAATATATACACTACTGTATATATTTTTCTTTGAAGTTGTGTCTATAGATGATATAAGTGTTACGATTATCTTATTTAAATCGACGCTACAAACATGTATTATTATTAAGTTGTATATTATTAGCTTTAAAGAGTTTTGACAGGTTATATGACCGCCAGACAAGTGTAATATATTGCAAGCAACTGTTTATATACGGTCATATAACGTGACAGGAATATTTATAACAAAAGTACAATACAGCAAGCATCTTTTTTAAGAACAAAAGTTGAGATTTCTTTATAAATTGACAAAAGTCTGTGTATATAAAACTTATAAAGGTAACAATTTTCCAATGAAATGCGACGTTAAAAACGTGCAATATTATAAAATTCATTATAATACTGCACGTTTGTAACGTCGCTTTTCATTGAATAATCGTGACGTTAATATAGTTTTTTATAATACTGCGCGTTTGTAACGTCGCTTTTCATTGGATAATCGTGACGTTTATATAGTTTTATATATACGGCGGCTGTTGTCGATTCATGAATAAATCTTACTTTTTTCTCTAAAAAATGATGTTTGCTGTATTATAAATTCGTTATAAAGATTGTTGACAGGTTATATGGCCGTATATAAACGGTTGTTTGCAATATAACCCTCGCCTAGCGGCTCGGGTTATATTTACAAACAGCCGTTTATATAGGGCCATATAACCTGTCAACGATCTTTATAACTAATAATATACACGGCCGCTGTCGATTTATAAAGAAATCTTGCTTTATTCCTCTAAAAATGATGCTTGCTGTATTATGAATTCGTTAAAAATATTTCTGACAGGTTATATGGCCGTATATAAACGGTTGTTTGCAATATAACTATCGCCTAGCAGCTCGGGATATATTTACAAACAACCGTTTATATAGGGCCATATAACCTGTCAACAATCTTTATAACTAATATTATAATACTGCACGTGTGTAACGTCTCTTTTCATTGGATAATTATGACGTTTATATAGTTTTATATACACGGCTGCTGTCGATTTATGAAGAAATCTCGCTTTATTCCTCTAAAAATGATGCTTGCTGTATTATAAATTCGTTATAAATATTTCTGACAGGTTATATGGCCGTATATAAACGGTTGTTTGCAATATAACCCTCGCCTATCCGCTCGGTTTATATTTACAAACAGCCGTTAATATAGGCCCATATAACCTGTCAAAAATCTTTATAACTAATAATATAAACACAACTTTTTTCTATTCATTTGAAACGTGAAAGCCATAGTATATATTCAAATAGATGGACGCACGACGTAAAAATATTTCAATAAATACCAGTAGAATCATTTTACAGTGACAATTTGCAGAGAAAATAAAAGAAAATTTACGAATTGGGGAACACGTAGGCTTGGTGTTCGTCCAAACACCATTGTTGCATGTCCTCGTGCTGTGAGAGGAGGTAATTTCATAGTCTGCTATACATGTATACACTGCCACAGATCCATATGTGCTTGCTAGTGCGAACACATACCCGTTTGATATAGTGTCCAATTGACCACAATCTTAAATCAGAAAAAAATCGAGGATAGTTGTTTCGTAATTATATTCTTACCGTTTTACGTTATACAACTATGTACAACTATTCGAGAGAAATGAGATATGTATACTTGTACAAATGCTGAAAATAAGGTTTCTGTATTTGTTAACAAAAATACATTAAAAGCACATTATATAATATTATGCCTTATAAATGAATATTTTTCCATTCTTTAGAAAAGGCAAACATATTGTTTAAATAATGTTCTAAGTGCATTTTAGATGTTGATCGTCTGAAGAAAGTAATGCAATAATTGTTATAGATCTAAAAGTAGTAAAATGTAAGCAAAGTATTATTTTGACTTGGTATAAAATACAAAAATCTGTATTTTTACTAAATGCCAAAATGTTACAGAAGTAAAAGATCGTTCAGGTAATTTGCTAATGAGTAACGTTTTTTAAAAGTATGACAGGACATAAAAATAAAAAAAAAGTTTTTATGAAATAGAAATAAACGCATTTATGAGGCATAATAGGCCTTCAAAAAAGCGACTTTCAATGAATACACATGTACGTGTTCTATATTTAGACATGTGACGTCATCATTATACGTGTATATATATATACATTTTACCAACCTGTAAAAATGTTTATTGTGAATATTTTTACATAACATATACATACTAATTAAAGTACTTCAAACATCACATTAGTCTATAATTGTATAAAGTTCAAAGTGTGTTCAAATTTATAGAACTGTTTGATTCAAAGTTTAAGAAGATTTTACATAATCCTGCAATTTAATGTTAAAAATGCTTTAGACAGAGAACTTATCAATTAAACAATTTGTATGAATCAGTTATTATTTTTATTAAAATGCCGTAATTATTATATAAAGATATAACCTAAGCAGTATAGTGAACCACATAGGTGCTTTTACATGTATCCTTATTTTAAGTTGATAATAGAATAACTTTAAGCGTGTTTATTTGGTTTATTTACCCTTGACAATGGAATGAACCTTAAGGGTGAGCATTATAACTTTAATTGTTTTGAAACGTTTATTTATAATGCGTCATTCGTAGATGATATCGTTTAAATGTCCTCTATTCCTTACTTTGTGATGTCTTTATGTCGCATTGCAAACGCTCTAATCATTCACTTAACTAAATTCTATTTGTAACAAAAAAAAAGAACTTCCATGATTATATGTAACGTTGATTAGAATGAAGAAAAAAAATCAGATAAAACAATCAGATAAAAAAAACTCTTAATAAATAAAAACCAATATTACTAAAATTGACTGTCACTTGACATGAAGAAAATAAATCAGATAAAAAAGCTCTTAATAAAAAAACCCAATGTTACTAAAATTAACTGTCAATACCTACAGTAAATAATTTACTGGAAACAGCAATTTGTAGAGAGAGTAGAGGCACTCAGCCTGCGATAATTTTTCCAATCTGTAACAAATGTTTAACTACGCCTCGCAAGCATGATCAATAAGTAATGAAGAACATGGCAAAAAAAGTTCTAATTTTTAAGTTTATTTTTAGTTAATTTGTTTAACATGAAAAAATAATTAGCTCTATAGAAAACAAGACCTTTGTTCCCGTTTCGCTGTTTCCTGTTTGAAGCTCATGTTCTCGGGGGAATCAAAAAAGGTTCAGAACACAAACAAATGAACACGTAATAAAACAATAATGTCATAGAATCTGCTAGCAAGTACTTGTATTTGAAATTCATAAATGTAGCTGAAATAATGTTTTAGATCATCCATTATTGATTAAAGCATTATCATCATTGGGGCAAATGTTTGTATGAACCACGCCATGACAATACCAACATTATGGGTTTGCGACCAGCATGGATTCAGACCAGCCGGATGCGCAAACACACTATGAAGGTTTTGTCATGGCGCGGCACATTAATCTATTAACGTTTTATGATTATGCAGGGTGTTTGGATACCAGTTCCTGCACATTTTATAGCCACTGCACATTTGTCACATTCTCAGCCATATATTCAGCCAAATGATTTGCATAACATTCGGATATTTTTTTCACAATATACACATGCATATACTTACATCTTTTCATTTTATCTCTTATATCACGTCTTTCAAAATGATTATTATTTTACTGTGTTTATTTGTGTCTTCTTATCACTGGTCTTAAAGCAGCACGCCTCCAGATATGTCCTCATTTTCATGAAAATTTTGAAAATGTAATAAAAAGTAAAATATTGTTAAGTGAACAAAGAATGTAATTGACACATTGCAATCGGCACTTATAATCCACGTAAATTACCGAAAAGAGGTCAAAATATGCAAAAGTAGCCCCTTCTGCGTTACTAACGCAGTAGAATTATGGTGATTAATACTGGAAAAATTAGTCATTAATTGCACACAAGATATAAATTATAACTTGAATCTTTAATATTTTTACTTTTCTTAAAATCTTAGTACATATGCCCCAAGTTTAATTTTCTTGAAAAATTTTGGCTCGTCCGGAGGCATGCAGCTTTAAGGTTTTATTGTATAGTCATTATTTATTTTTTAATTATGCTTTTCATTTGTTTCACTCATGACAATACTTATGTGATATTGTTTCTCATATTGTACCATGAAATGCCATGTATTTACATACTGAAATAAAGCATTATTATATATCTTCGTTTTCGGGTAAGAATGAAAATTAAATATGACATAAAATTCGCTTGTTTAACTTCAATAAATCAGAATAATATATCAATACGGATGAACACTCATTTTGACTATGAAATACGATTATACATTTTTCAAACACAATGTGTGGGGCGGCAAAACTCGTCGGACATGTATCTGTATCTAAGGATCTCTGTTCACGTGCCTTTTTTCAACGGTAAAGAGACATTACACTTGACGTAACATATCTCTGTATACAAGAGCATTCATAAATAGAGGATATTGAATGAGTGTATGTTTAATACTGAATTTATGTTTTGTAATCATTTGTTATATTGTTGTTTTCTCACATGCCCAGTTTGGCCTTGAGATATAAATAAAACTTTGAAACTTTGTCACGTCAAAATATATGCACAGCCGTGCAATACCAGTTACGTACGTAGTCGCAAAAACGACACGGGTATGTGATAAACAACCAAAATTATATTTAAAACGCACGTTACCTTCATTTACGCACAGAAAGTCTCTGTTACCACGTGGCAAACATAATTGATCTGCCTTACAATCATGATTTGAACATCCACGTGCCAAAGTCTGAAGAAAAATATAAAGTGAAAACAACAGAAACAAGAAGTATCTTTTAAAAAGAAGGTGCATACGGCCAAAGACTAGTTTATATAATATAATAAATAAGTTCTTGTTTAAAAAAACTCAGTAAGTTCTTATGCTTTTCACTGCAAAATGTATTGAGAACTTAAGACTGCGGGAGGATGTACGGTTAAACAGAACTTAAATATTTGATCAATTTACTATACAATACATTTTTTTTAAAACTATCTATTACATTCTATTTTATAATAGTTATCACTATCACTTAAATTTTATTTTAGAATATCCTACGAGATAAGCAGATTTCAGTTTGTAATTTTGAAATGAGCAATGAAAATATTTCTTATATTCCTTTCTGTGCTGTACATTTTACAGGAAGTTCAACTGACTTGAGACGACCTTCGACCGAAAGAATAAACACAATGAATAGATCATCTACGGTGGCACAAAGGTGACATTTGTGTGTTTTTATTTATCTCGTGGCCACGAGATACTATGTCGTACCCACGAGTTACTAAGTCGTGGCCACGAGATAGCTTAGTCATGGCCACGAGATACTATGTCGTGGCCACGAGTTACTAAGTCGTGGCCACGAGATAGCCAAGTGGTGGCTACGAGATACTATGTCGTGGCCACGAGTTACTAAGTCGTGGCCACGAGTTACTAAGTCGTGGCCACGAGTAACTAAGTCGTGGCAACGAGATAGCTACATCGTGGCCACGAGATACTATGTCGTAGCGACTAGTTACTAAGTCGTGGCCACGAGATAGCTAACTCGTGGCCACGAGATACTATGTCGTGGCCACGAGATACTATGTCGTGGCCACGAGATACTATGTCGTGGCCACGAGATAGCTAAGTCGTGGCCACGAGATAGCTAAGTCGTGGCCACGAGATAATTAACCAATCAGAATACACTATATATATTATGACTTTTATAAACTTAACAACTTACCTTTACATGCAACATTAAGCTTTGAAAATACTGAAGATATTCACTTTGAAATTGTTTTTTGGATCATATAAGAAAGTCACCTTCCAAGGCCCATCAAACATTAATTTTGACTATAGCTCTTTGTTGGGACAATTTTGTGATGGAATTGGTCAGTTTGTACGTACTACGGCCTGTTAACTTTGTTCATACGATTAAATGAGAAGGAATTAGTCCTGGTTTATTTTATTTGGAAGGGAAATTGCCCATGAACAATAGATAGCCTATAAGGTAAAATCCTTGTCTGATGAATAATTTAGAAGGGATAAGCCATGGTTAATATAACCCAGAAAGATCACTGCACCTTATCAGTAGATGAAATCTTATAATTTCGAGGTCATTGGGTCAAACATCAGGGTCACAGTAACGCTAAATGTAAAATTATTGACCACTCAATAAGTTGTATAAATGGCACTTTTACAGGCTGGTGAAGTAGGGGCATCCTTGTACTATAGCACATGTCTAGTTAATTAGGGAAATTCATATAAATGGTGTAATCTGATTGGTTATTTATCTCGTGGCCACGACTTAGCTAACTCGTGGCCACGACTTAGTAACTCGTGGCCACGACATAGTATCTCGTGGCCACGAGTTTGCTATCTCGTGGCCACGACTAAGTAACTCATGGCCATGCCTTAGTAACTCGTGGCCACGACATAGTATTTCGTGGCCACGACTTAGTAACTCGTGGCCACGGCATAGTATTTCGTGGCCACGAGGTAAATAAAAACACACACATGCCACTTTTGTGCCACCGTTATCATCTCTTATAATTGATTATAATAAATTGAAATGTAAGCTATTGTTTAAGTCTTCATTTAGACAGATACTAATTTAATCAATTGGAAACTAATGAGTCTGAAAATATCAATTAATTTCGGCTGACGAAACCGCTCTCTCATTTCTTATTACGTGACGTCATAAAATCGGAACTATCCCACCAAATCTTCTTTAATTCCGTACTAGCAGAAACTTGTTGTTAATCAAAAGTTACAAAAAATCGCTTTATAATACTGCACGTTTGTAATTTTGCTTTTCACGTATATTTACTCACTCTTACTGACACGTTATGAAGAAATCTCACTTTGTTTTTTTTTTCTAAAAAAAAAAAAGAAGAAGTTTGCTGTATTATAATTCGTTATAAATATTCCTGACATGTTATATGGCTGTAAATAAACGTTTGTTTGCAATATAACCCTCGCCTTACAACAACAATTTATAATATAATGTTAATAATTAAGTGTTTTCATAATGACCTTGTTATTGGTCTGAAAGACTCTCATATTAACCTGAGACAAAAGACCGAGTCTAAAGCCTAATAACAAGGCCATTATGAAAACACTTAATTTTTTGAAGAATTTATTAATTAACTGTACATAATCATAAACAAATTAAGATAAGAATAAATTAACAAAAAAAAAACAAAAAAAAAAAAACAAAAAAAAACCTAATGTGAAATTCGATTGTTGTGATATATTGCAAATGAGATTCTTGTTTAAAAATCTTTCGGAAACTTATCTTGCAGCAAATCAAAATTGTGATTTCTTTCAATGAAAAAAGCAGATTCATAATGGCCGAGCTAGAGAGCCGATTGAAATTCTCCAATCTCATAATAGCCGTGTTTTCTCATAAAGGCCGTCCTTTTTGCATGATGGCCTTGTTTTATGTTCATAATGTCGTGATGAACTTCATATTAGCCTTACAATTTTTATTTACTAATAATATATAGCGTTGATTGCTTTTGCAATATGTTGACCACGCACGAGAAACATTATTTTTTCTAAACTTCAGAAAAGGAAATGGGGTTACGTGAACGAAATCGAATCTGTATCAGCATGCAAGCACAAAATACGCACGTGCACGCACGTTCTGTGTGGAGGAAACAAGAGCCTGTGTATAATGTAAAAATTTGTGTGTAACATTTATGAAATTATTCAGTAATCATTTTATCGTTTGACTGATTGATTGATTTATTTATTTAGTTATTAATCATGTTACATTTTTAAGAATGAAAACATAAAAATAAAATGAAAAGTTACAAACTTTTGGCCATTCCGTGATATCAGAAAAAATATATTCTCGATCTTGTTGGAAATCAGAGTCGTCTGCAGACGCTAGATCTTTGTATTTAAATTCACATGTCTTTTGTCTAATGTTAAAATTAAAAGCTTTACAACCCTCGCCGATATTAAAACACTCGCGAACACAGTCGTGAAGTCCGTTCACGTTAATTTCATACAGTGAATATGGAATAAGTTTTTTCTGTAAATGACCTTTTGACAACTGAAACTTCGTATCGAAGGTTTGACCTGTTGCAAATACCATGTTGAAAATACCAAACAACACTGCCAGAACAAGAAATATAACTTTAACACATTTAAATACAATCCTTGTAGATTTCATGATCTTTTATGTGTCGATTCGTTTTTTTCCTGTATTTTTTTTAGTTTTCTTTTCTCTCTTTCCTTTCTCTTTTTTTTTCTTTTGATTGTATGTTTAACAAAATTATTCAAGATTTGTGCTCGTATATATACACATATACACTTGCACTTGTCAAAAATCAAGCTCTCTTGATAGATATATATATATATATATATATATATAGACTGTAAAATCCAATTAAGCAAGAATAAAAAGCTGCCTAACTCACAAATGATAACGACAACGAGGCTACGACGCATTAATAATAATTTTAACTTATGTGTTTACAGCCGATGAAATACAATGGGCCGCACCATATTGCCGTTTTCCATTTAAAAATCAATAACTTTAACATACCATATTAGCGCGTCATGACAACACCAACGTAATTGTTTCCGGTTTAATAATTAAAATATTATCGAAGTGATCCGCATGGTTAAATTAATTAAAAAAGAATAGTACAAGACAGCCATGGCTGGCCATACAATTGGCTGTTATTGTTTTTTTGGTGATGTTACATTATTAATAAGTTAACCTCCGAGACAGTACAAAAAGTGTTTGAGAAGTGAATAAAATAGCTCATATATGGGCTTAATTGGTCTTGTATATATTTCAAACAGATTTCTACCAAGATAAACGTATTTAAACTTAAACTTTTAAATAGAATACTTGAAGGGTTTTAATAAAGAATTTAAGAAAACAAGATGCACATTTAAATAGGTACGTACTTATCTAGATGAAAAGTATCTAGTATATTGTTTCGTTTGGATTTCTAGGCTTATAGGTTTATAGGTTTTCATAACAAGATTTAACTTACTGACAAGGCATATAAGTATTTGCTTAACATTTAGATACGTGCTCATTGTTTATCACGTTCAAACGATCAAAAAGGAGTTCATCAACTGTCATGTTTCAAGTTATATTTTTTTCGATGATAAAATCAGTAATGTAAACATCGGATCTACTTCAACTTCAGAGTTGTCCTATATAAGATAAATTGACCCTAGTGAGTTGGAAAATAAGCCATTTTCTTTTTAACGACTATCACTACAAGTCCAGTTCGGTTGCGAAAGAGCTATACACCTACTTTTGCAGTTAACATTTTTGGGCCACGTTTCATTGAATGTTCATAATGCATCCTAAGTCCTAGGAAATGAAACCAACTTTAGGACTATCTAAAGACCATTTCAATTTTTATTAGTCAAATACTGTAGACTATATAGAATTCATTATCCTGAGAAAAGTTGAGAAATACAATGACACAATCTAATAAAAATCCGCTCCTAAAATACGCTTCGCATTAGGATCTAACATTAACCAATTGGCAGTCACCTTCTCGTGGTCTTTCACACAACCAAACATTGGCGAGCTTTCATTATTTTGAAAGCGATGTTGTTTCTTTTCTTAACCCTTAAAAAACCATTACTGAGTAAGTACTTTTCAAGATTTCGAGAACAAACATGAAGTTGTCAATGAAGCTGATAGGTAAGTTGGCAAAACTGTCTTGCCCATTAAAAATCGACTCAATTTTCAAGTTAATTTGTTGAAAATTACTTTACAAATTTTGTTTTTACAAACATTTTGTTTAACTTCCACGGATAACGGTATTTTGATACTTCTTCTAATGCCTGTCTGCAAAAACCGGTTTGATTGCATGGCTAAAAATAGTTAAAATATATTTCTTGGAAAATCCGAATTCTCAAGAAGGCGAAATATAGGCCAATACGGTCGTCATTAGATCTACATGGAAATAAGTAAGTAGATCTGAACTTGACTCAGATTGTCCAATGACAGTCCCCTTTATTTTCAATGTGTTAATGCCCATCGGCATTGCTATTCAGAAAAGTCATATAAAAGGAGTAATGAGTAAAGACATTTTCTTTGAAACGCAAAATTGTCTCAGTTTTGATCATAAGTAAAGTTCAGTTTAGTGGAGAGCATTTCTTCCAATTTGCACTGTATAAGTCTAAATAAAATAGAGGAGAAATATCCGGGTTTTAAAAATTGGTATATGCCACATGATTCAAACCAAACACTTTCTCAACAAAGTTGAGTGTCTGTCTAATAATTTAGTGGTTAAGAGTTCAAATAAAATAATGTAGTGATAACATATATAAATTTGAAATATCTACTTTCTAACGAAAAGATGTCTACTATAAGTGACCTAAGTGTACCAGATATTCCACCACTGTTTCCAGGTAGTAGCGTATCTGTAATTATGTCCATGAAAAAATTTCATGTATGTATAGGTGTTTTTCACCTACATGCTTTTTCCTAGGCTCTAATTGGGTAGCCCCAATTATTTCAAATTATTTAAATTTATACAAAGGGTTATTAAGTAATAAGTATAGCATCAAAACTGTGTAATTGACTGTTAATAATTATTCCATATGTATTACTTTTTATTGATATTCAAATTACTTGTAAACAGTTATAATAAAGCTATATTATTATATCTGCTATGCATAGGTTGTATTGACCATCAACTGATAGTTCACATTTTTTATGTTATAATGTTTTTTGTCAATAATGTTATTTTGCCAGTATGTAAAACCAAAATGTGGAAATTGTTTAAAAGATGAAAACATTTTTGCTTCAATCAGCCAGAATTATATGGTGTAAAAATGTAACATAATCAATAAATTGATATTAACTTTATAGAATATTGCAATAATGACTATTTGTGTGATTTACAATTCTTTTAGATATTTTTGTGCTTCCCACACCTACTGCATTTATTATTCATCCTTAGATTTAAAGGTTTTAAAATATCATACATATTTGTTTAGTCTGTCTGTCTCCACACAACTTTAATCTTCACTTTATTAAAACAATAGTTTACACTTTAATGTGTTATTCTATATATGTACAATGTATTATGTATTATAGCCGATTGTCCAATATACAATATAGTTATCCTGTGTCCCATATTTATTAGTCCGTTGAATGCATTTGACATTTTCAAAGATATTTATTATACATTGTATGAAAGCATTTCACAAGTGTGACTGCCATGTATTATTTAAATCACACTTTGTGTTTCCTGAACTGGAAGGTTTATATTGTTTACATTGTTGTGTATAATAAAGGCTATATTTAGATTCATGATTATGTCAAACTCTTTTGACAGCCTTTGAGATATGGTTTCTGCAGGAGGTGATCGAGTATACCCATCCTGTAGGCATCAAAAGCTTAGGCATAAGTGGAATCACACTTGTGTTAATTCATAAATAATTGTGACTTTGTGCGAGTAAATTCTTTCAAAAACATATAAATTACATTATTGTAAATCTGAATTAATACACTAATTAAACTTGCTAGAGGCAGTGTGGTTTATTTATCACATTTCAACATGATAAAGATAGATGAAATTCGACACATGTATATGTTTGATAAAATGTTCTCAAGGATGAGTATGATGAATTACTTAAGTTTGCCTTTGTTACCAAATTATGATCTGTGTGACATACCATAGTAACTGACTGATGCCAAGATCTCGTTCATGCAGGCCAGCTCTAGGTCAGTACATATACGTATTGATAGAAAGTTTGCTGATGATGGTAAGTTTTTATTATTTAGTTTTGCCCATCCTTCTTTATTGGGCCTGAAATAGATTGATGTTTGTTTCCCCTTCCGATACCTACCCACAAAAATCAAAGCTACCCAAAAAGTTTTATTGCCTAGGAAAAATAATATTTTTTACACATAAAATTGAAGCAGTGTCTGTCAATGAGAATCACATGTTTATATCTGTCTCATGTTTTTGAACTGTAGACTTACAAACTGGGATAATGGTGAATAAGACATTGAAAATATTTTTTCTAACTTTTAAACAGATGGTTTTAAACAATACTCATAATAAGTTATGAATTCGCTATAAAAACTATTTTTGGATAAAACATTATCTTATCTACCTACCCCGGAAAGCAAACAAATTATTCAAGTAATTGTACACATGTCTTCAGAAAATATTCCTTGCACCTTTATCACAAAACTCTCATTTTAGTTCTGTTAAAGGTTCATGATTAATGATAAACTGGTTTAGCTACATCTGCACATGTTACTAAAAACATTTATTTTCATGTCGTCCAGTTGAATTCTGCTAAAGTACTCGTACTTAAAATATGGGACTGCATTGTGTTTTAAAGCATGCTGCAATCTCTAGATAACTAGCATAACGAATTTGGATATTATATATTACGTGATCTACGAGTGTTGTTCGAAACGTATTGCTTATTTCTATCTGGAGACTTCAAATTTCAAGTTAGCTCGAAAATGTTCATTTCATGCCCTCGAAGTACTCCCCGTGGCTAGAAATACAAAGTTTCAGCCGATGTATCCACTTCTTGAAGGCGTCACGGTACGCTAATTTGGGCCCAGTAATAAGGTACTGATGAATGGCAGATCCAAGAGCCTGTCGGGACTTGTATTTCCGCCCAGCAAGGAAGGATTTCAATTTCGGAAGCAAAAAAAAAATCACATGGGGCAAGGTCCGGAGAATACGGAGGTGAGGCAAAACAGTTACTTTTTCCTCTTTTAAAGGAGGTATGAGCGGGGACATTGTCATACACAAGACGGATATGCTTAAAACCAGAGACAGGGCGTCGTTTCTTTTATACTTTTTCAGTTTCTTAAGTACTACGTCTTTATAGTACTTCCCTGTGATACCTTTGCCCTTTTTCACCGGCACTTTTATTGCGACTCCTTCACCAGAGAAGAAAATTGCATACACTCAAAGACCGTTTGGCAATTATTAGGCGTTTGTTGTGTTTAGTGGCCCAGATTTTGTTGCTAACTTTTCTGACGGGCTCAAAATAATGGACCCGAGTTTTATCACCTGTGACGACATTGGCAAACTGTTTTTGTCATATTTTGGAAACATTTGAAGCAGCTTTTTGGCCACATTAACCCGTTGCCTCTTTTGCTCATCGGTCAACAGATGTGGCACTCATCTAGCAAAAATCTTTCTGACTTTCAAATGCTTCGTAAAAATAAAGTTAACCGTTGATAGTGATGTGCCTACCTTTCGTGCAATATCACGAACTGTAAA